AAGCATACAGCATCTCAAGCACACAGCATCTCAAGCAAACAGCATGTCAAGCATACAGCATCTCAAGCAAACAGCATCTCTTTTTCTTTTAACCAGTCAGCACTATTACTTGTTTCCGCAATTTCAACTGGAAAGATTTTCTTTTTGAGTCACCAACATCAAGTGTCAGAAACTTTGTTTCAAAACTTATTTCCTTGTACAGAACCTTCATGGCACTGGACTGACATGTTCACGGTGTGTGAAATGAAAACTGAAACTTTGCAGACACAAAAATACTCACAGACATGTATGTACCATGTACCTGTGCATTGGCTTAGAGTTAACAATGCCCACCACAAATGAACGCATATCAAATGACTCTGTATGCCAGTATGTACTCTTCATTTCTTTCTGATGGTAACACAAACGCACTTCTTTAATCGCTCATACATTGTACATCTCAAATTCTGCAAAATGAATGCACCGTAGAGTGTGGATGATTGCATTCAGAAACCACACTAGAATGGCTATGTACATGTACATGTCTTACAGTATCGTATGGTATAATGAGCAGTACGGTATCTGACCTGCATCATACATGTATTAGTCACTGTACACGTATGTGCAATCACGATAAGGCATTATACGCATCTCTTCAATATTAATTTCTTTTCTTGTACATGCACATAGAGCCTCCATGCATGTACTGGTACACGTGCATTTTCTGCTCTTATTTTACATTATAATCAGGTCATCTACGTTGAAATTAACTGTCCTTGGTCAATTTCAGCGGGAACTGTGCACAGATGCATGTAATGCTGAACTTAGTCTGTGAAGTAAACCGCAGTTGAAGCCTTTTCACTGGCATGTCGGCACAAATTAAATCAAAGCGAGATTATCTGCACTTTCAATCTTAGCCTCTGACTGCACAGGAGATTGGCAAACAGGAACCGCTGACATTATGAGTCTACTTGAACAAGGCCATGAATAAAGGTTAAAGACCTGATAATGGGGGTAAAGGTCAGGCATAATTGATGATTCATTGTACTGACATTCAAAAAGCTTTTTTCTCTGAATAACTGCAAGGGAATCTTGCGCATGTGGACAATTCCACACTGACTGTGACATGACTGCCAAAATGTTAACTCGATTGTACAATTTTTAGTCCACTCTTACTGGTAAGGGGTATACCTTAACCCTAACACTCCTCAATCCTTCACCTGTTGGAGGACTGAGGAGTGTTAGGGTTAATTAATTTAATATTGAATCTGAGGGGATATCATGGCAATACTGTATCGAAAATTATAATTAATAAATAATTCTTAAAGTTGTTTTCTTGACATGTTTATTTCTATACCGGTACATGTAATGTCCGAAACAAAGTTTAACGTCCGGAACAGCTTTAACAAAATTGGACTATACGGGGGGTACTTTTTTCGAACTTTCAATTCATGCCTGGATAGAATGGATTCGGACCAACTGCAACATGCAGTTGGTATAAAAAGCTGGAGGCAGCATTTTCACAGAGTTTTACTTACATACATGTACCGAAGGTCAAAAAGCTCTATCATAACGTGCAACGTCCGTCACATTCATTTCTCACGCTCATAGCTAATTAATCATTGAAGCTAAAACAAAGTTTCTTTAATGTTTAACACTTGTATAAAGCTCATCCATGGATATCAGCATTTGAATTGTAAATTATCAATAATTCATGTACTACATGTTACTTTTAATTACCCACCTCAAGTAAAGTGATTTTGTCCAGTATTTTTATTGTCATTTTTTACGTTTGTAAATATAATCAATACAACTGTATAAGCCACACAACATTTTTTCATACAAGTATTTCTCAGTCTTCAACCCTAATGGCTCAAGGGTTGCTGGCCCTAACCTTCCCCATTCACGCGAAGGGGTTTGTTCACAGAGGCTGCTGGACTTAGTTTTTCTGAGGTATGCCAAACCCAATACAAAAGCCAGCTGTCTGGGCCTACCAGACCTATCCCCACAGAATTAAACACTTTATTATTGTTTAATTCTGTGTGGTTGGGGAAGGTTTAGGGTTACTTTTCAACAAACCCTGGTGCAATCTTGCCCAAACTAACCAGCCAAGTTGATTATACATGTATCCTTGCCATGCAGCTGAAAAGCTGATTTTATGAATTTTGAGTTTTGTCTGTATAGGCCTAAATCATGGACAGTTGGTATGTGATTTTTGTGTTTTTGTATTTGACATTTTAGGCATGTTAGGAGACCCTTTGGACATGCTTGACAGTGATTGACTTCGGTTTTAAAGTTTTCGGTAAATATCCTTCAGGGCTGTTAGCAAATGTTGTGCAAGTCTGTTGTTTCATTTGGTTTGGACTGTGTCAGTGTCCCCGGAGAAATAATAAATGAAATTGAAAAGACCAGAAAGGCACGTATTTCATTCATAAAATAATTAAGCAAACCTATACTCACTAAGAAACTTCCAAAGGAGTTGAATTTTGATTTGGGTTAGATGTAGGAAACACACAAATACATGGATGATTTCATGTAATTTGAGAGCCCTCATGAACAAGCTAGCTTTGCACGCGCTGCATAGCTAAGCAAACAATACACTATGACAGTCGTCAGGCCTGCCTATGGAGACTAGACCGGTCTGCAGACGTACAGGGTACATGTACAGTAAATGTACTGCACACTCGAACACACTGAACTGATGATTGGACGGACTTGAGAAAATCTTACCTGGAAAATATGTTGCACGCTAATGATGGGACTTTCTGTCCGCTCGTCCATTCTGCGAGGCTCTCTAGCAAGCTTACGTTATCATTATGCGTCGTGTGGAGCTGGTGACTCGACGCAAAACTGAAGAAATCGGGAAGTTCCCAATTAATTCAATTCCCGAAAGTGCAAGTTTGCAGCGCATGCAGCTCGGGTAGTGACGCGCCATGCACTATACCAGTGCAGCGTGCATGCGTTGTATTGTGCTGATACTTTTCCAGAGGAAAACTGGATCCATTTCTCCCTTGGATTCATTAATATGGAAGAAATTTCCCTCAGTATTACGTTCAAAAAAGTTATTCAAATAATGCAAATTATGGAGAAAAATACTAAATTCATTTAACAAGTCAAGGACAATTAACATAGAAAAGAATGTAGTTCCTTCTTTCACTTCTTGGGAAAAGAACAGCGCAAGACTAACCTCTAACCCGGAAGTAATCTGTTGCTATGATTACATGCATATGCCCAGGTACGGTCTAGATTTCGTGACATTGTGACATACCGCTTCACGGAACTGCCAAAAACTTGAGAGTTTCATTGACAGGTCTGCTGCGATTTCACAACTGACATCATGGCAGCAATATTTACACCGACAAACCAGATTCGACTGACGAATGTGGCCATTGTAAGGATGAAAAAGGCCGGGAAACGGTTCGAAATCGCTTGCTACAAAAACAAGGTTATGTCCTGGAGGAACAAAGTGTAAGTTAATGGTTACATCGGGTGTGCGTGTGGGTGTTTGGAGGGGTGCTTGCATGGTCTGCTTGAAGATTACATTGTAAACATAAATAATTCATCTTTCACAGATATGAATTAAAGGAGGCAATTGGCTGATCATGATGGAATTTTCGACAAATTATGCACAACGAATAGGTCTATCAATTGAGCAAAGCTTGAGCAGTCGTGTATATTTGACTGATCATGCAAAAAGATTGAGATACAGTATTATTGTGGATTGTGTACTTCAGGACCCCTCCCTTTTTATTATTCTGACAAAAAGATCAGTCTCCAAGAGACTGCAACCAAAGGTAGTGTTCTCCCTTTTATGCTCACCCTGTTTTTGGGAATTTAGAATTTGAAAGTGTTGAGCAAATCTGACTTTTTGAATGATATAACCAACCATGTGAAAGTTATTCATGTGTGATGAATTAACACTGACAATTTTCACCTCAGTCACTCTCAAAAATCTAAAACCCAGTCCTCTGTCCACAAAATTAACCATGCAGTAATTTAACATGAGGCCATTGTTATCTGCCAGGTGGACCTAAAATTAAAATGTAATTCTCTGGTCTTTCATTGTCTATTATAAGAACAGGGTTCCTTAAAGACACAACCCCTGAGATATGTTCAACTGATCAAACATAACTATATGCTTGTGAACATAACAGTAACAGTTGTGATTATGTTGTAAATTTTATGCACAAATTTCTCATATTCCAGTGAGAAAGACATCGATGAGGTTTTACAGACGCACACAGTGTTTACCAACGTGTCCAAAGGCCAAGGGGCAAAGAGAGAAGATCTGATGAAGGCCTTTAATACCGAAGACCAGACAGAAATATGCAAACAGGTATAAAGTCAACAAATACAGGTGACAAAGCAATAGATGATGCAATTCTGCATAGTGTGCAACTAATGCAAGTGTGACACCACAGAACAGACATTTCATAAATATGGAATGAATTTACCTGGTGACTTGAGGTTTTTTTTGCCATTTCAAAACATACATCTTAGAGGTAGTGATAATCATTGATGGTGAAATTGGTGTATTGTTGTAGGACATAAAACTTTGTATGAGACCGAAGAGGCTCTGGGAAGTTGTTTTGAATAACTTGACATTTCATCCAGCAAGATCCTGATCATCTTCCAGAGACAACAGATGAAACCTATGTTTCTTTCTTTGTCTCAGATTTTAGCCAAAGGTGAACTCCAGGTGTCAGAGAAAGAACGTCAGCAACAGCTTGAGTCCATGTTCCGTGACATTGCCACCATCGTCGCTGAGAAGTGCGTTAACCCCGAGACCAAGAGGCCATACACCGTGGGAATGATAGAGCGAGCGATGAAGGATGTCCACATATCGGTGAAACCCAACAGAGGCACCAAACAGCAGGTGAACGGGGGCAGTCAGGAACTTCCTACTCAGTCTCAACAATCCCTTGTTAGAGTGTATGCAAAGTCAAGATTCCAGATTTGCAGCAAGAACTAGAATAGTAACAAGTGACCTGTTAAAACCTTTGCATTGAGAATTGCCTGCCTGATCAGAGAAAATAGTCATGTTTCTCCTTTTTAAACATTTGGTCAACTGAGCCTTGTTCCAGAAATGAATTGAAATGTATTTGTATAAATTGAAATGGAAGTCACTGATGACCTTTGACCTCCAGGCCCTGGATGTCATCAAGAAGCTGAAGGAGACGGAGACGATGCCCATCGACCGTGCCCAGATGAGGCTTAGGATCACCCTGCCGGTCAAGGAAGGCAAAAAAGTCAAGAGCAAACTGAAGTCTTTGATTAAAACCATGGAGAGAGAGGAGTTTGGAGAGGAACTGGAGATGGTGAGTTATCTCAGATGAGAAATGAAGGGCTCTCTGAGGAGCAGTCGAGCAGGAGTGAGATATCTTAGAATTACTGATCTGAGCCAGATTGCTGAAGAGTAACAGTATGTGATTGTTAATGTTGTTACAACGTCTGTGCTGGATGCGAGGCAAATTTGCCTTAATCTCGCTACTGATTGAGGGTGCTCTTTAGCCTTACCTGAGTTGGAAGTGTTTTCACATACCTTGATCTTGCCCTGCTTTGCTCCAGTGTCATGAATTTAATCCCTGGACATGAAGCCCTTCTGCTCAATGTGACTAGGTCATTCCATAAATTTGGGATCTGACAGGTTACATTTTTCTGTCCCTGTTGCACCTGACCTGAGTAATTTGTTGAGGAATGTACATGTACCAAATAATATGCCAGATGTAACAGGGACAGTTAAGCATTGGACCCAGTCACTGTAGCCTTGTATCACTTCGGCCTGTGTTCCTTGCCTTGTTTGCTTCTAGGTTTGTCTGGTTGATCCAGGCTGCTACCGAGAGATGGATGAGCTGGTGCGCTCCAGTACCAAGGGGCAGGGAACCGTGGAAGTCCTGGATCTGAAAGACATCGAGGAAGGAGATGAGAGATTAGAATGAAAGTAATTATAAAGCAGGGTTTACAGTTCTGTGAAGATACGAGGCCTTGCTCAAGTGACCTCGGTCGAGTTCTTGCACAGCTGAATATTGAGTTGTAAGCAGCAGAGGGACTGGCTCACAGAAGACATTTTAAGTAAATGTTAAAAAATTGCCAGTTAGGACACTCACAGTCCATGGTCAGAATTGAAACTTGTGAGAGTTTGCTTACCAAATGCATTCTTGTTCCCTGAATGCCATCTTGAGGGTCGCCATCTCTTACCACACCTTGTTTGACCTTTAGCCTGTTGATTCATTTAGAGCAAAATGGTACGTTTCATTTTCTATGAGCCAATGTGGTTTTGGTCACCTTCCTCCATGGTCGGAACAGGGCATTTGTGGTTTCATATCCTACTGGAGCCAGGGTTTCTGTGAGATGTACACAGTATCCCATTCAAAAGAAGACTGGTCCCAGCTTGTCTTCGCTACTAGTCTAGAATGTAGTGGACAGGCTGGGCACCTGATTGTCATCTAGGGATACAAAAGAGCCCTCTATAGTTTATGTAGAAAGCCAGTAGGGTTCAATTCAATCTGTTGAATACAAGTACAACTTGAGGTCACTGATGTACATGATTTGCAACTGTGCTGGTGGATAGCAGACTTTTTTAGTTTGGTTTTTACCATCTTGTGGAGAAACTGCAAAGCAAGAAAGTCAGGCGGTGTTTGTCTCATTGGGAATCAACACCGTGATATCTTGCTGAAATGGCAGTTTGGGGGGCGTACGGTGGCGATAAGTTCCCATATTCTGTGCAATAATCCACTGATTTGATATTCGAAGTTTATTTTTTGTGAGGATTTGCTCATTGGCAAGCATGGCTAAAGAAATGTTGACCCTGCTAAATGCTTAAGTTAAAAGCGTTTGTACCTGACAAAGCTTGTCTTCCATCAGTTGATCTTGTCTCTTGACCTCTCAACTGGCATCAGTGTAGTGGTAGTCATCTGCACCAGACAGACGGTGAACTATTTGAGAATCGCATGCATATGAAACGACAATGACTTCAAGAAGTGCAACGACAGTCTTCCGTGTACAAAAGATACCAAACTAAAGGAAGCAAGCTGTCTAGAGGGTGTGGGTATCACCAGAAAATTTTCCAAGGGTGCCACACCCCTTCCCCAGGTGTGCCCATGAATCTATTTGGATCTGAAAGCTTTCAAATGCCTTCAAATTTGATACAGCATTTGAATAGTACATGTAACTAGTCTAAATTCAAACTAGGGTTATCTTCAAAGTTTTAACTTGTCTTTGAGTTATGTAATTATGTTCATTGTTTGCATTTTGATTTGGCACAAACTGGCTTGTAAATAAATATCTATTGAGAAACTGCCAAACAGTAGAGGAAATCTGGTCTTTGTTAAAGTAACTTGAGGATCCTTTAATTAAACTGGGTTCTACTAGGTCGTTATTAACTGGATTTGTTGTGAGCAGTCAATCATTTGTCAGCTGTTTTAGGACATGAACAGTAAAGGCCATACTGCATGCTGCTGTAAGGCCAAACATCAAATGGATTTGTCCTCAGGTGACTTTCAACTGGAGTAAACCTCTTTAAATCTTCAATTCAAGATCTTCACATCTGATGGAAAACTGGAATATGTCTGCACTTCAGCATTGTTTGTGGCTCACTCAGTTTGTCTTAGGTGACAATCATAACATAACTAGATTGGTTACGAATTTCTACTTGTGTCGCTTGTGTGTGGTAGCATATTGAACCGCAGGGTTACCTGCCGTTTCCCCACAAATACTCTGCTGTATTCTAATATTATAAAATAAAAACATTTATATTTGATTATGCATGATTGTGTTCTTCTACCTTCTAACTTCCACCCGGGGGGCGGGGGCGGGGGGGGGGGGGCAAAAGGATAACTTCTGCCAGCACATTTCATTCACTGTGTAACAAGAAATCCTCAAGATTTTAAAAGTTGACTTTTAACAAGATCAGCAAATCAAGCTGCCACTATTCTGTAAGAGTCCTTAACCACGTC